CGAAAAACTAGTAGTTTTAAAGATAATTCGATTTGTAAGAAAAATTGGGCATTTGCAAGCGTCAGTATATTGTCAAAATTATTACTTAATTTTTGATTCCAGGTTTTATATCTTTTATCCTGGGTTAAGTAAAAGTCAAATAAAATCTACTATGAAACATTAAAAAAATAGCTTAGGGTTCTTTTTTTTGTAGGACCAAAGTTGCAAAACGTCATATTAAAAAATCTGACTTTTTTTAAAATGGAACACCCTGTATTTTTTTCTGTCATTTTTCAACTCCTCCAAAAACCTTCAACTTTTGATAATAATGCCCTATACCTATCTCTGATAGTTTTCGAAATATCTTGGTTTTCCTGGTTTTTATATTCTAATCTTAAATAAGTTATATGTAATTTACATAATAGTGAGGTGGCCATGCAAAAAAAAGCAATTTTTATCTAATACTCCGCGCAATCGTTGACTCACCCTGTACAATGGTAAATCTTCTTTCACAAATTTGTGTCTATGATTTTGTTGTAAAGTACGGAGTGTAGCCGAAATTTGCCATTTACAAGTATTTCGGGTGAAATATAATGTTAGTGAATCACTATTTTATATAGTTCTACGTTTTCGCAAAGATCGCCGTTTTTTATTAAGTTGGATGTATGATTGAAAAAGTGTAATGTGTGTTTGGCCTTTGGTAAACATCGTTGGCCGCCGTGGGCGTAGAGGGGCGGGTCTACGGGAGATCCCTAACTATGCCGAACTCGCCTTCGGCTCGCTCGGCATTGGTGTACAAAAAATTCGAGCCATTTTCGTTGTGACAAGAGCGAGCTCGAGCTATACCGAGCTCCGCAATAGTGTACGCTTCGCATTTTGTTACCGGTATCGTTTATAAACCCCTAAATTCGGGACGGCACGGCAGTTGATTTATGCAGATCTCGCCTTCAGTTCGCTCGGCATTGGTATATAAGGTGCTTGTGTTAAGAATCGAAACTCCTAGATCACTTTACTTCGTTAGAGGAAGGGGGGGTAATCGTTTTGAGTCATCCGCCATTTCGATTCAACCACGTTTGTTTATCACATGCCGCTTAATTCCATTTATTATACACCTCACGATATATGTCTTACACAATGCGAGTCTAACGTGTTTTTGTTTTGTCTTAAACTGTAAACCTAAGGCCCATCGGCTCGCTCGGTATTGGTGTGGAAAAAAGTGTAGTGTGTCTTTATCCTTTGGTAAACGTCGGTTACGACCGTGGACGTAGAAAGGCGAGTCTAAGGGAGGGTCCGAGCTATGCCGAACTCGCCTTCGGCTCGCTCGGCATT